GGTTAAAATAAGTTGTGTTTTATAAACTAGATATATGGTGGCTGGTTACCTCTGAGATCTGAAAAACTGAAGAGACAAAGGAGACGAAGGAAAGGGAGGGGAAACTTATTTTACTGTTGTACTGTACAAATGTATTGTACTGTTTTTATCTTGTGAGCTACTCTGTGGTAATTGTGCACTTTAAAAGGTATCCTATGAACATTTTAAATAAATAGAAATAAAAGGTGACTTCTGAGATACCATTTTTATAATTCATTGCAGATCAAGATAAATGATCAAACATTTCCAAGAATCAGAAACACCGTTTTGTTTTGCTAGCTACTCCTCTGTTAAATACTCCTCTCTCTTTTTTATGGCCAAGCCCGAAAGATCTTAGACTGGGGACATCCAGCACTGAAAGCCAATAGGCTTGGCCACCTGCAGTGCCCCAATCCAATGTTCCATTTCACCACTAAATATAAAGAATAAGAAAAGAATTCCAGGGCTGCATCTAGTTCCACTGCCTCTTGCCAGAAGGCGGAATAAGCAGAACAGAGCCATAGGATGCGAGTTAGCATCCCACAATTTCTGAAGCACCTCTAACATTTGTTCTGCTCCGTGATGCTGTTAGCAAAGCCATCCAGTGTCTAGTTTGTACACAAGTTGCTTTTCTGCTGGATTAACCGCAGCCATAAATCATCTAAAGAAGAGGATTTACTGTTCACAAGGATAGAATTCCACCGAGAGGAACCCAGCGACCTTCTCTAGTTCAGCTATTGTCCATTTAAACAACAGTTCAGCCAGGACAGGACCTCCACTCAACTGGAGCAACAGGAACACGGAAATCAATAGGCCTGTAAGGATGATTCCACATGTGAAGCACCCAGGGCTCTCTGATGTTGCAAAGGGCAGCAGGGCCACAGCTAGCCCTCAGACAGGATCCAAATTGCAAATAATGCCAAAAGGCAGATTTAGGCAGTCTGAGTAGAGCAACCACTTATAAATGAATCAAATTTACCCACTTGCATCCTAAGGCTGAGGCTCTGAAACTCTCTTCCAGATGTCCTCAGCAAATAAGGCAAGGCAGGTGTCTACTGGAAAGGGTCTTTGCAGTTGTGGCTCCCAGACTATGGAATTCCCTCACCACGAAGTCTTTTCTGGCACGGGTGTTACACTCTTCTCAGTGCCAGGTGAAAACCCTTTTATTTTCCAGGCATTTTAATAATGGTGTTTACTGATTTTAGAACACCAGAGTGTTATTGCTGCTGATTTTACTTTGGTGTTATGCACTGTAATGCCATTCTCTCTCCCCCCCTCCACCCTCTCTGCTGCCCATTATATCTTGTTTTTATTATATACTGGTCTGATTCATTGCTTTATTCCTGGTACTTTATACAATGCATACTTTGAATATATTGTACACCACTGTACGTATTTGGGCTGTTGGATGGTTTAAAGGGATAATGCATGGATACAATTAGTAAATAAATTGGATAAACTAGGCCTAAATACACATGGGCTATTCAGACAAGCAACCTCACTTTTGTGTGGCTCAAAACTCCCTATTTCTTGGAAGGCAACACTGGATCTGTACATAAGAACTGAGGATGGTGGACAGATAGGCTAGATGAATGTGATGAAATAGACAGATGAGGTGAAAGAAACAATGCCAAGCCAGGCCTTCAGGCTGCAGTGGAGTGCACATCCAGAGGAAGGTTTCTTCCAAGCAGAGGAACAGCAGGTACAAACAGGATAAAAATGGTTCTAGCGGAGGCATGAAGGCCTGATCAGCTGCTAACAGATACACAGAGAATAAACCAGAATGACCACAAATGCAAGCAAACCCCCGGGGAGCAACCCAACAAGACACTCAGTGTCCGATTGAGACAGAACAAGGATGCTGATCTGCACAAATCTTGCTTATTCTAATTTATATGCAGAGATGCAAATTTAGAAATAATTACTATAATTTAAATTTATTGATTGACTTGTAAAACACCACTTTTCCACCAGAGATCACTGGGTGGTACATATGAGATTATTAAAAAAAAACTCTCAACCATAAAATTGCAACATGAGAGGTGTTTTGCCATCATGGGGAAGACCACTCAGGTGTGTCTGCCCATTCTGCTGCCCAGGTGCTGTTGGTGAGCAACTTGAAGGCTCTGTCTTTAAACTAGATGGAGAAAAAGGAAAGGCTACTGTCTGAAACTGGGCTAGTCAGAGCCAGTGTGGTGTAGTGGTTCAGAGCATGGGACTGGGACTCAGACAATCTGGGTTCTAGTCCCCGCTCGGCCATGGAGCCAACTGGGTGACTTTGGGCCAGTCACAGACTCCCAGCCCAACCTACCTACCTCACAGGGTTGTTGTTGTGGGGATAAGATGGAGGAGGAGATGTAAGCTGCTTTGAGCCCTTTGTAGGAAAAAGGCAGGATACAAATAAAAAAAAAATTGTTCAAGGATAGGCTAGACATGCACATGGTAGGCATGTCATGAGCGGAGCGGCTAGAGCCTGGGGTCAGACTAGATGGCCTGGGAGATCCCTTCTGACTTGCTCTGTTTCTATATTTCTAACTGGTGGAGCTCCTCAGTTCTTATTTGGATGATTCCAGATTGCATTGTAAACCACAGAAATTCCCCATGTGCAGACAGATCAATGGGGAAAATATAGGGAAGGAAGGGAATCAACATTTCAGATTTGCCATGTGGATAAATCTCTACCCTTCAAGGCAATGGGATAAGCTTCTCAGTGGAACCTCAAAAGATGCTGTACTCCTGGGATCCCACCCTCTGTTATGTGGGTGCCTCTGGCTTTCTCCCAAAGTGCTTGTCTTATTCCAGTGAGCGGAGATGCTATTTGAGGCTGGAGATGGGCTTTGCGCATATCAGCTGGCCATCTCTAAATGGGACATGTTCCACAGGAATACTCTATAAAGGAACTGGAAATTATTAAAAGAGGGAATCTCACAGCTTTGATAGCCAGCATCAGTGACGGACTAGGCGAACCAGGCAGATGTAAATTCAAATTCCCACACAGCCACAAAGCTGATGGAATGACACTGGGTAGGGCACTATTCTCAGTCTTTGATCTTTCATGGGCACATGGGAGGAAGGATGGAATGAGGTACACCCAGAAACAGAGCCGTTGCATCCCTATCCAGGTTCAGTCAGGAAGGCTTCAGGCATTCCAGTGGCTAGAATTACTGGAGGAACACATGCAAAGCAAGCACCCCACAGCTCAAAAGTGGTCCTTCAAAGGGTCTCAGACTCAGTGCACGCTTCTGGCACCTTGGGAACACACAACGGAGACCAATGAACCAGTAAGGAGGAATACATCTAACAGAAGCCATCTCCACAACAAAGAGTGCGATGTCTTGCTATCACTATGCAGGAGAAACCATTGCTGTGGCTACAGAAAAAGAACCTCTGAACGCATCCTCAATTGACTATGATGACAATGGTGGTTTTCATTATTCTACTGCTGGGCTCCAAGTTCACAAGGCTTACAAAACTTGTCATTTCAGTGGTGCAGGATCCCGCTCACTGCATGTATCCAAAAGTCCCCAGTGCAAAGTAAATCCACATGGGAATTCAGAAAAGTTCCTCGCATCCCTCGAGATCATCCATTTGACTTAATACTTCACGTCATGAGCACAGTGAACATTGAATGGGGAAACAGGAATAAAAAACGCATGCCTAATGCCAATTCCATATGGTTTGCCATGATGACTAGAAGACTTCCTTGGACCCATGTGGCCCAGTGAATTGCTAGGGCTGTTTGACAGCTGCATGAATTCACTTACTTCCAAATGGGATAAGCCAGCCCTGCTGTGAATGGCAACCCTCTTGCTCATTCTGCTCAGTGGGGGTCCTGGATTTCTGCCCCAGTATCTTATCTTGAGGGTGCTACTGTTTTTAGAAGGCGGGGGGGGGAGGAACGACAAGATTTAACCAAAAGTGTTTTTGTGGCAGTTATCAGGGGGCTCTCTAAATGTCAATCTGCCCGCCCCCACCCAATCACTGTTCCAACTGCCATGCGGGTACTCCAAACTGAGGAGGATCCTGGTGCCCGCAAAGCAAAAGGCATTGTCTGGCTCCGCCATCAACCTCTCCTTAATGGATCTGCTGCAGCAATAAAAGCAAAGGCCAGAAGCATTGGCAGGAAAACATGGGAAGGTTGCTGGAGGGCCATGATTTTGTCTGGACCCTGTAAAAGTCCATCAACTAGGCAGGGTGATTGCATTGTAAAAGCCTCATCTGGAAGCAGCCTCATTAGTATGAATAAAGGGGCACTTTCCCCAGCCTTTCAGATTATATGGGTCCATGGCTGCCATCATCCTGATGGAATGGTTGTGGAGGATAGGAGTTGCAGCCCAGCACGAAGATTCAGGGAAAACTGGCATACAGTGGACAGGCAGCAAGTATTCTGGATTCGTTAATGGGCTGAATCCAAGAGGCTGTCCTTTCAGACTAGAACAAAATCCTTGCAAGGTGTCCTTTACGCCAGCCTTCCCCAAGCTGCTGCCTTCCAGATGTGCTGGGCTCCAGATCCTGGCATAGCCACGCCAGCCTGGGCATTGTACCCAGTCCATCTGCAGGACACCCGCCTAGAGGGGAAACTGCTTTACACAATATAAATAAGATGTTCTCAAGCTGTTCTTACTCCCTTCCATTTCCCTGCTTTCCGCCAGATACAGGGCAAACGCAAACAATTCTTTCCATTACAGCACTTCGGTTTTTCCCCCTTCTCCCTGCTCCTCTTCTCTCTCCAAACACCCAGAGAGGGAAGGGACACTGGGAGGGGAGCCCCGCGCGCGCATCCGCCGCATCGCGGCGTTCAAAAGTTTGCAGGCGCTCCAGCCAATGGCGGCCTGCGGAGCCCGGCCAGGCCTCGCCGGGGTGTGCGAGCTGTTTCCCCGCCTTGCCAGTGAAGTCATGAGGGAAATATGACATTCCACTCATAAAGAGGGCGAGGGGGGAAGAGGGAAAGGTGAAGCCCGCGGGCCCGGCTCCCTCCGCGCTTTGCACGATCGCCTTCCTCCTGCTCGGAGCGGGCAGCCCGGCCGGCGGGAGGGACCAGCTTGAGACTCGTCGGAGGGAGGCTTTTGGCCCGCCGCAAGGGTGGTGCAAGGGCAGTCTTCTCAGGAGCGCCGCGCCGCGGGCCGGTCTCCCGGCTGCCCCCGGCAGAAGGACCCGAGAGGCGGCTGATCGCGGGGACCCCTTCGTAGACTCGAACGCAGCCATGGGGGAGGACGGGGTGCAAGCGGAGAAGAGCAGCGGGTACGTCTCCCCGAGCTCCGACGGCGCCGGGCCTCTGGATCACGGCAGCCCCAGCCCGGTGCCGTCGGGCAGCCGCAGCCCCAGCCTGCCGCCGGCCGCTCCGGGCGAGCCGATCCGGGACGGCTCGCAGGTGAACGCCATCACGGTGCTGACGCTGCTGGACAAGCTGGTGAACATGCTGGACTCGGTGCAGGAGAAGCAGGAGAAGATGGAACAGCGGCAGATCGAGCTGGAGGGCTCGGTGAAGGGCATCCAGGGCGACCTGAGCAAGCTGTGCAAGAACCACACGTCCACCAGCAACACGGTGGCCAAGCTGCTGGAGAAGTCGCGCAAGGTCAGCGCCAACACGCGCGACGTGCGCGACCGCATGGACCGCCAGTGCGCCCAGGTGAAGCGCCTGGAGCACAACCACGCGCAGCTGCTGCGCCGCAATCACTTCAAGGTGCTCATCTTCCAGGTCAGTGGCGGCGGCGGGGGGCCGAGGAGTGAGGGGGGATTGTGCCATCAGGGCACTGCTCCCAGAAAAAGAGAGGCAGTCGCCGTGCCTCTTGTTCAGCAGCCTGCAAAAATATGTACCCCGACCTACCTCGCAGGGTTGTTGTAAAAAGAAAATGGCGGAGGGAGAGGGATGATCTCCACCAGCCTGATCGCCTAGTGTTGTATCCCCCCCACCCACATATTAGGGCATTGCTGTTCTTATGTCAACCAAAGACTACCAAAAAAGCACGCTTTTGAGATCTCCAAATCTCCTCAACAAGCAATTTTTTTATTTTTATTTTTTGAAAAAGACTGGTTTGGCTGGGGTCATGGGAAGATGCAAAGAGAAAAATAACCCTGCTTAATATGCAGCCTTGCACCTTAAGGACATCAAAGCAGCCTCATGCTGGATCAGGCCAAAGGTCCATCCAGTCCAGTGCTCCAGTTAGGCAATTGCAGAACATCTGCCCGCAAGACCCCTCAAGCAGGGTGTGTGCAAAAGTTCCAAGCTCCTCGGCAACTGACATACTGAGGCATGGCGCCTCTGAGAATGGAAGACACAGCCAGCAAGGCCAGTAGCCACTGATTGCCTCCTCCTCCGTGAGTTTGTCCAATCCCCCTTTAAAGCCATCCAAATTGGTGGCCATCACTACTTCCTGTGGCAGTGAATTCCATAGTCTAACTATGTGCTGTGTGAAAAAGAACTTTTACCTGTCCCGAATCTTCTACCAATCAGCTTCCTGGGGTGGCCACTGTTTGTTGTGTTATGGGAGAGTGAGAAAAGCCTCTCCTTCACCATCAAGGCAGGGGAGTCTGTTTTTCTCCCATGACCTGCTTTTTGTAACATCTTGCGTAATATGAAGAGATCTGGAAATCTCAGAAGCCTGCCTATTTTTTTTTTATCTTTTCACTAACATGCATCATGGAATTTTGCTTAGAGTTAACACAGCTATTGGGTTTTGATACTATAATAAACACGATGCTATAATAATTGACATAGGCAACTTCCACACTTTCTCCCCTGAATTTGGCCAGTTTATTTCTAATCAAGCATTTGCTACTCTCCTTCCACCTGCCCCTTTTTTCCTGCTGGGAGTCTGCTTTTATTTGTAGTTTATTAGCTGCTGTGAGTGCCTTTATGTCAGAGAGTTGGGATTCAGATTTAATAAACAAATGGATTTACCCCCCGACCCACCCCACGCTGTCTTCTGACATCCCTATACAGCCACTACCCCCAAAATCTAGCAAAATGGAACAGGGATTGGGTCAAGTCTTGACGGAGAATCAGTCTCAATGATCCCACCAGATGTGGGCTGGGCTTACTCAGTACATGCTCAGAGGCACAGTCCTGAGTGTTGCCTCACAAGTTCCAGTGCTGAACCCAGGCGTTAAAATGGGATCCTGGCCTGAGGTCTCTTAAGTTCAGGCCAAGCCCTGTCATTTCTCAGCACCCAAATATCAGGCCTGCTTCTGGCCATATTCAGCAAATTGAAATAGGTATGAATCATCTTAAATCCGTGCTCCAAAATTCCACTAAGTAAACAGAGACTCCATTTATGTGCTCTGGAAAAAAAGGATCAGTTGGCAGCTGGCACTGCAACCCCACCCAAGAGTTTTGAAGGCACCTCCAACTGAATCCTACCTAGTTAGGATTCACTATTTTCCAGCAAGTTTCTTTGCAACAAAGAATTGCAAGGAGGAAAGCAATTTGTTTTAGTAAAATATGATGTACAGCTAGCACTGCCTTATTGGACTGTGCGTGTTTACTCAAATGTAAGTTCTACTGAGATCAGTGGAGCTTACTCCCACCTCAATTCGCTTCTGGTTTCAGCCTTAAATAATAAGGGATCGGCATGAATTACATTGTTAATGTATGGTATCCAGTCTGTGGTTAGGGAGTGTTTTGTTTATGAACTCACTTGGTAAGGTTTCCTGTCTGGAATACAGTTTTGTACAGTTTCTCTTTATATGAGAATGATGCAAAAGGACAGCAGATATGCTTCTTAAAAGTATCTGCTACTACTGCACCTTCCAGAGAAATAGAGTAAGTCCACGCCAAACTTTCATGTGTTGTGCTCTCACTTGGGAAGAAAACTCTGTTAAAGATCAATGCAGTTTCCTTTCTTGTTGCTTAGAATTTCTCTGTTTAGGTTATAGTATGGTTTTAAACTGCACCCTGTTCTTATAGCTGGTATTAATACACACCCACACAAGCGCGCGCGCGCACACAGAGAGAGAGAGAGAGAGAGAGAGAGAGAGAGAGAGCACATATAACAATATAATTTGCACAAGTATATTTTGCTTGTGGCTCTTGTAAAAACTATTCCTGCAAACGGAACTCAGACTGAATGGCCTTTTTCATCCTGAGCAAATTATTCTAGCCTCTCCACTATTGTTTAAGGATGGCTCTAAAGCATGAATCTGTCTAAGCCTTTCCCGTCACTCTGCAGCTATCTATGGCAGTTGATAAACCCTCATTCACCATTGTGTACATGTCCTGAGCTCTGGTTTCCTGGATATCTAGCTGTAATTTAATGTTCTTAAATATATTACATTGTGGTCTGGGGAATAAAGTAAGATTTGATTACCAGGCCAGTAAAGTTAATGCACTGTTCCCTTCCCAAGAGCCTTTTTTCACCCTGAGCCAAATCAGTTCGCTCTCCAATAGCACCTTGCTCAGGTTGCTGTTCTTGTTGTTGGTTTTAAGTAATTTCATCCTATGCATGCCTATGTAGAAGTAAGTTCCACCAAACACCATGGGGCTTATTCCGATTCAAAATAATAGTTTCATCCTATGCTTGCGTATTTAGAAGTAAGTCCCACCAAACACCATGGAGCTTATTCTGATTCAAAATAATAGTCCACTGGCTTGCAGCCTTGATTCCTTATGGCTAAAGAAAACCAGTCCTCTGCTGCCCTCCATGGAATAAATGAGGGGCAGGGAAACTCCTTTGGCCCAAGAGCCAAATTCATTATTGGAGCAGTTCTCCAGGAAGGAAGGGTTGCATTCCAGCAGTGGGTGGGCCAAAGGCAAAAAGGGTGGGGTAAAAATACCAAAAATATCAGCATAATAACGCTCCTAACTGCTTCTGTCTATGCCTTAGGAGAAGCACTTCAGCCATTCAGAATGTGGGGGAAGCATGCAAAAGCCAGAATGCCACCAAATCCCCTTGTGTTGGGATCTGTAGCCAGGAAAAAGGATGTGGCCACCTGGGCATCCAGAGAGGCCAGACTGGGATCCCCAGGAGAGCTGTATTTAGCCTGCTGGCTGAAGTTCCACCCCACCCACCCCCCGGAATAAATTGACCACACAAAACCTGAAGTGGAAAGCCTAGCCATCTAATCCAAGCAACACCCCTGTGGATACCACAAGATGCAGAGCAAATGTCGCCTCTGTGCAGTGTTGGTACAAAGTATGGTCACTCAGTGCTAAGTCCTGCAACAATTTGGTAGGTGGTTAGCCAGGACTAAGCCTTATGGAGAGGAGACTTATTCCCAAGAAAAGCATGCACAAAATTGCAGCGTCAGTTTTGAATTTCAACTGTAGAACCAGTCTTTTGCATTGCCACCACATTTCTTAATCTTCCATCCTCTGACTTCCTGGACAGGCAGCTTCAGGAAGACAAGTGGCTGGCATAAGTCTCCCCTCTCCCCTCCTATCTCCCAAACTGCATGAGAAGTGAATTAATGCCCTCCCCTCTCCTCCTTCATTCATTCCAGTACATCCGCCAAAGAGCATCTCTCAATCAAGCCCTTTCTGTGTGTGATCTAAGAACACCCACATGGTGTTTTAATCATATTCCTATAGCCAGAGGGCTACTGAAATCATGCAGCGTTCCCAACCACAAATGTTATCCCAGCCTAGGTTGCATCGTAAAAGGTTCTCGATGAGGACTGCTCACAGAGGGTGGATGCAAATGGCCTGCTTAAGTGTGTATTCAAGAGCAGAGTGCTCCCTAAAAGGACTTCAGATATTCTTGTTCTTTCTTCAGAAATAATTTAAATCTACAGGTGTTAGCCTTAATGCATGGAACTCATATCCTATTCTGTGGCAGAACTACTTCTGTGGTGATCAATGGGTTTGTCACATGTACTCCTCTTACTAATTACTTAAGAAATCTTCAGGAAAAGTGGAGTAAACTAATATGGCTTCAATTCTGGGTCACACATGAAGATGTCCTCCATGTCTGTTCCCCACCCCCACCCCTGCTCCCTCCTGAACCTGTCCAGCCTCCTGGACCATATTTGGGGGGCTTCCCTTTGGCCTGAAGTGCCTGATCCTGCCTAATCTTGGAAGCTAAGCAGGGCCAGGCATGGTGGAAATCTGGGTGGGAGACTTCAGTCCTGCACTGAGCAGAGAGTTGGACCCAATGGCTGGCTAGGCCCCTTCCAAGTGCATGATTCTGTGATTCCCTTCTACCACTGGAACATCATCAGGACACCAGCCCTGTGACATATTTTAATCCAGATGCTCCTTGGGGAAAACTATTCTTATGATCAAGGCTTTGGGTGGGAGAGAGAGAAAGTATTTATGGCAATATTCAAAAGTAAGTTTCTGGGAAGTTTGCCTAAAACAGACAGACCAGGTTCTTATAGTTCCTCTGTGGGATGGGAACCACAGCTTGGCATTCTTTCTCATGCCTGTAATGAAAGTAGCCAGAGATTATTTTTTAAAAAGCTTTATTAAACAAGCAACAAAAGATTCTATGGGTAGCCCAGGATCATGTGAGAGAAGCCTCCTCCCTCCTTCATACTTTGTATCCTCCAAGGAGTTGAGGGCCATGTATTCCATCCTCACAACGCCCCTGTGAGGTAGGTTACTCTGAGGGAGTGACTCGCCTTAGGGCTGCCCAGTAAGTTTCATAGTGCAGTGGGGACTTGAACTTGGTCATCCCCATCCTAGTCCAACTTCCTGACCCAGTTTTATCCAACCTGGCACCCCCCTGATGTTTTTGACTTTGGCTCCCATCAGCTCAACCA